CTGATTAGAAACATTGGTATTCTGGAGAAAACAAGTATTTCCAAAACATTAATTAGTTTTAATGTTTTGGAGATGGCACAACCTTCTCACTCAAAGAGAAGGTTAATAGTCCAAAAGGATATCTGAGAAGTTCCTCAACATTCAGTAGGGCTTGCTTATGGGTTAGTGGGTATAGAATTGCGGTCCCATGCACACCTGGGACTATATTTAATGCAAACTTCTCTACTGAACACAATGTGACTTTACATTACATAATTCTGAGAAAATATTTATAGGATTGTACTTTAAAATAGTTTTAGCTTTAACATCCTGGAAAATGAGCAGGGGTTTGTTGTGATATATGTCATTATTTTGTGGCATTGCTTTTTGGTGTTCTATATAAGATAGACTGGATAGTCCCTACACCAAAAAAATATGAATACATATCTGACAGCAGGAAAATCAGTGTTCAGAAACCAATATGGAAACATTTCAGCCTCCCATGGCATTCTATTAATGACCATTCAAGTCATTCTTGAACAGATTATTTTCAAGACACAGCAAAGCAAATAAGTACAGTTTTTCAAGGCAATCAACTCTGTTTCCTGTAGTTTAAATAACAGAGATGTTTGAGAAATCTCAATGAACTGAAATTACTTTGAATACGTAAGGCTCCTACCCATGGATTCTGTAGCCTATGACTTTTTTCAAGTTGCATGGATTTTGAAGACATGTGGGCCATATGTTAATTCTCTTCAATTTTACATAAATACAACTGTAGAGAAATAGGAAGAATAAAGATACTGACCAAAAATGTGCATTTTTCTCATAGATTAAACCATGATTAAACCATATATATAGTGGGGGTGGAATTGTACATTTTAGTGTATTGCAAATTTGCTTATAAGTAGATCTGCGCAATACCTGATTTCATCAGTGAATGGATGATGGAATGAAAGCTGCCTAACAAGCTATGAAAAGTAGATGGAATATATTTTATGACATAACAGCAAAGAGATTTTTTAAAAAAATATATAGTAGGTACCTGGTATATAAAGATATACCTGGTTATCTTTGTAGTGATGTCTGTTACCACCTAGTAACATTTGGAAATGCTGTCTCACCACATGGTTTATATCACCATTCCTGCATGTAAATATACATCTTCCAGATTATTTGTTTATATTACGTGCATACTATTTGATAGAAAACAATCTGAAACAGTGTATAGCTGCTTGTAACCTGAACACAAAGGATTATGGGTATCCTATGGAAGGTGGAGTGGTTTCCTCTATGATGGTCTCCTCTATGCGTCTTCCACCCTATCAAAGACTTTAGCTTTAGGCTATTTAAGGCTTTTGCCCTGTTGTGGAAGGATGAGTGGTTGAGGCAGTGCCGTGATATTGTGGTGGAGCCACTCTTCTCCCAGCCTTGCTTCTCCTAACATCCACAAACTTCTGGCTTTGAGATCAGCCTTCCAACCTCTAGGACACAGCTAGTGTGGTTCTTTCCATGCTGGATGCAAGCGTGGAGGCAGGATGGTCCAAGGTCGGAGTGGACTTTGACCTCTTCTGTGGCTGGCCAAACTAACTGCCATAGGATAGCACCTAAGTGGTGCCTTTTTTCCTGAAATATTAAAATTGCTGTTAATGCTAGGGTTGGGACAAACCCTTTCAGGATCCAGCCCTCCAGAATTGTGGACTTGCTCTTGTGCTGTGCCCAGTCCAGCAAAAAGAGGCATGTGAAGGGGAAGTTTGTGAATGCTTATGATCCCCCAGTTGAGAACCTTCCCTGTCAGGAGTGAGTGCAGAATGTGAAAAAGGGAGCTATGAGCATGTGAGCCTGTCACCAACCTTCTCTACTTTCTGCTGTCATTGGTGGCAGTGGTAGGCACAGAAGAATGCTGCTGCTTGTGGGGCTCAATTCCTGGCAAGTGCCCTCTGAAAGCTGGGTGCGGTTGCCAGGAATTTGAACTCTGGACTGCTGCAAATTGGACTGAATTTTGGGAAGCCAAAACCATGGAGTCTGATGGGTTTTCCCGCATAGAACAGATTCCTCACACGTTTCTCATTAACATGCTCAACTAATTCTAGGTTCAGTGAGAATAAATTAATAATTAAAACATCAAAAAGCAATCAAAGAGCAGCAGCATCAATTATAAGCCAGGGAAAGCTTGTAGAAAGGGAGGCTTAGGTTTTTAGCAGGCACTTAAAGCTCACCACATTTCTGCCTCCTGAACAGCACAGTGCAGGAGTTCCAAGTTTGTCTGCTATTGAAGAGCCCCACTTTTTAAATGTGAATTGGTAAAAAGGCTGCAGAGCACTCGGAAAAGCGCTACAGAAAAAGACATTGTGGAACTTTCAGTAGCTTGCTTTGAATTTGCACAGCATTTATGGGGATGAAGTCTCTTGGATTTGTCACGAATTGAACTCCACATTTAATACAGTTCCATTAACAGAGATATCCAAAGTTCCATCCAGTCCAACTTTGTTGGATGAGTTTCAGTTATGGAGGCCTGAGGATGTGTACAAGGTGCTTGGTCAGCTTTGGTCCACTACCTGTATGCTTGACCCTTGCCCATCATGGCTTATCATTCAAGGTAAGGGAGGGACGTGTATCTGGGTCCAGGAGGTTGTAAATGACTTGTTGAAAGAGGGAGTGGGCCTGGCCTCTTGAAAAGAGACTGTAATTAGAGACTAATTAGACCACTCCTGAAAAAAATCTAACCTGGACCCAGAGGATATTAACAACTACAGGCCAGTGGCCAATATTCCCTTCCTGGGCAAGCCGTTTGAGTGGGTGCTGGCTGAACAGCTCCAGGCACTCCAGGATGAAATATACCATCTTGAACCATTTCTGTTGGACTTCAGGCCTGGCTTCAGAATGGAGACTGTCTTGGTTGCCCTGTGGGATGACCTCTAATGGGAGAAAGACAAGGGGAGTACAACCCTGTTGGTTCTCCTAGACCTCTTGCTGCCTTTTGATATGATCAACCATTGTATCCTTCTGGATAGGCTGACTCAGTTGGAAGTACTGCTTTGCAATGGCTTTGCTCCTACTTGACTGGCTGGTTCCAGAAGGTGACACTGGGGGATTATTAGTCAGTTCCATGGCTTTTATTCCATGGAACACCATAGGACTCCATCTTATCCCCATGTGCTGTTCAACATCTGCATGAAACTGCTGGGTTATCCAGAGGTGTGGATTGAAATGGCATCAATATGTTGATGACACTCAGCTCTACCTCTCCTTTTCATCAAACCCAGGTGAGGCACTGGTCATTTTGAATCAGTGTCTGGGCTTGATAATGGAGTGGATGACATAAACTGCTCAACTAACCTTAATCCAGATAAGATGGAAGTGCTGCCGGTGCAGGGATCTTCTCTCCAGATTGGTGATATTATACCTGTTCTGGACAGGGTTGCATACCTCCTAAAGAGCAGAGTTTGTCATCTGGGGGGTGCTCCTGGATCTCAAATTATCACTGGAATCTCAGGTGGATTTGTCAGCCTGGAGCACCTTCTATCAGCTCAAGCTGATTCAACATGGCCCTATCTGGTCAGACAGAACCTGATAACAGTAACCTGTGCTCAGGTAACCCCTTGTTTTGGCTATTGTAATGTGCACTATGTAGGGCTGCCTTTGAAGACAATCGGGAAACTCCAGTTGATCCAGAATAGGGCAGTGAGGCTGCTGATGGGGACTGGCACATGAACACATTTCACCAATCCTCTACCAATTCCATTGGTTACCATTTGAAATCCAGGCTCAAATCAAAGTGTTAACTTTACTTTTTAAAGCCTTGAATGACTTGAGGCCCCAGGCTAACTAAAGAGATGCCTCCTCCCATGTGTGCCTACCCAGACCCCAAAATCATCTTTTGAGGCTCTTTCAGAGAGCCCCCTCTGCAGGAAATTAAGAGGGTGGCTATGAGGAGAAGGACCTTTTTGGTGGTGGTGCCTTGACTCTGGAATCAGCTCCCCATAGAGCCTTTCTGGTACCCTCTCTCCACTCTTTTTGGCAACAGGCAAAAACCTTATTTGCCCAATGTTTTAATAGCTTAAATTTTAAAATGGCTTTTAACCTTTTAATCTATTTGATTTTTATTATATTCCACTGCTTCCCTTGTTTTCACTTAAGCTTGGATTAATTTGGATTATATTCCACCCTTGGATTAATTTAAACTGTGGCTGTTGGGTGTCCCCTCCCAGTATTTTATTGTTATTTTATTGATATATTTGTTGATCTAATGTTATTATTTTTATTGTATATGTTGTCTGTTACAACTTTGTAAACTGCCCAGAGAGCCATTTTGACTAATAGGTGGTGCAGAAAACAAACAAGCAAACAAATGATAAGCATTCTGTTGTTTGTGAAATGACTAGCAACAGCTGAACTTTGGTTAGGTATATATAGGAAAAGGTAGTCTGCTAGGTACCCTGTTCCAGATGTTTATGGCATTGTATATCATGTATATCAGAGCTTTGAATAAGGCTGATAGGCAACTGATGCAGGTTTTTTTTAAGCCTCATGTAATGTATATATGGTTATGTGCCTGCATGCATCTGAAGTGGACAATATGCACGAAAGTGTGACAGAATAATTTTTGCAACACATTAGCATAGCTAGGTTTCTGGAACAAGTTCTACTTAGCATCTCTGAAGCCAGGTGAGGTGAACAGGTCTTACCAGTACCATAAATATCCCTGTGAAGAATTTAAGAGGCTTTTTGTATTGTTATAATTATCAGTGTCCTTGCAAATTTGGGCTCTTGTCCTTTTTGAAGGAATTGTTTTGAAAGTCCTGTTTGGATTATTGCCTGCCTGCCTTCTTTCCTACCCTTGAGAGATTTAGGGGTAGTGAACTTGTTTCTGACTGAATAATGTTTAGGACTGTGCTCTGGTAATTTCAATGTATGTAACAAATTGGCAGCTATGTGTGAAAAGGAGATTTGTTACAGTTTATCGGAACTTTCCTTTGCAAGCCATGATTTGAAATTTTCATGATGCTTTTGTTCTTCAGTTTTCAGTTGACCAAAGAAATGGTGATGGAGAAGCCAAGTCCCCTGCTGGTTGGGCGGGAGTTTGTGAGGCAGTATTATACTCTGCTGAATCAGGCACCAGACTACCTGCACAGGTAAAGTTACCTCTTTTTCTTGGGCATGCTTTTCTGTTCCTGGCATGAATTAAAATGTGTGTAATTAGATAAATGTGTAAATGTTTTCTTCATTATCTCTTTTAACAGCTTCTTCCATCTTTTTCTTTTTCTGGCATGCTGGCTATGGATGAGTTTAGCAAATTTGTGGGAGGCAGGAGGGGTGGAGTCTTGAATTCTAGCAAGCATAGTTGAAAATTAACCCAAATATTCTGAAATAAGAAATTATTTAAGCCCCACTCCTGTCCATAATGTCCCAGAAGATAAGGGGTTATAAAACCTGGGCATTTTTTATGAACAGAGTCAGGAACAGGTTCCATTAGAACTACTTCATTGCTTGATTCTGACTTGACAAAGGTGAAACATTATTTTTAAACGGAATGGACAGAATTAGAATATTGCAGATATCTATTTTCCTTTTGTCCTTGATTTTGAATGAAACTTATGCAAGATCTAGGACCAAAACCTGTTTTCATTGTCAGTGTGAAGTAATAGTCTTAAAGTGTTGAAGTGATTTTTAAGCAATTCCTCATTCTTGCATTACTCTCAATTTTATAAAAAGTAGTTTCCAGACTTCTTCAGAAAACATAAGACAAAGAGGTGAACAGCCTCCCAAATATTTTGGGCTTCAACTCCCATGATCCTGTGTATTGGCAATGGTTGTTAAGGCTTATGGAAGTTGGAGCCAAAACTGCCTAAGTTGCCTTTCCTTAGACCACACCATGGAGTATAGGTGTTATGTTGACCAAATTGTTAACGTAATTTACCGGGTCATGAATTACACAAAAAAGATACAGAAAGCAGAATTTCTTTGTAAAGCAGCAGAAGGCATTTGGTGTGAAAGGGATGTCTTAAGAACTGGATAACAAAATGAGCAAGTCCAGAGGGTTTTTTAAAGGGACTCAGGCTTGGGAAAATATTGTAAATCAATGGTTCACTCAATCATTATGGCTGCTTGTTTAGTCAGATAGTGCCTGGTACACACCATACCCTAATCATTTGTTTGGATGTCACTTTCAGCCTGTCTCACCTGGGTGGCATGTTTTCTTGGAAGAGAGGAAACAATCCTCAGATAAACCAACAACAGCTCTGCTTGTTTAACCCATGGTCACAGTCAAACCCATGTTGGTCTTCAGGCAATTTCTAGTCCTCTGTGATGACCTGGTTGTAATGACAAGCCTAGGATAGATGGAATATAGATTATCTGTTTAAGACAGGCAGTTAAAAGTCATGTCCTTGATAATGAACAGTTGCAGAAATTGGTTTGATAAGGTACTGACTTATCTGTTGAAATGAAGCAGGAAGTTATTGTGTCTAAAACCAGAAGTACAGCAATAGGTAGCATTTTAATACTGCAGACCCATGGAATGGTTTGAAATTGACATAAGTGAAATATATGCAAATTGTTCTCTCACAGGTTTTATGGAAAGAATTCTTCTTATGTCCATGGTGGCTTGGATTCAAATGGAAAACCAGCAGATGCAGTTCATGGGCAGTCTGTAAGCATTGAAGTCACTTTGAGTCATCACAGTTAAAACACAGTCACCAAGTTTGTGCAATCTCTGAAGGGGAAAGTTATGGTAGCTCCGTTTTCCTGCTCCCATGTGAGCCATTTGTGTGCTGTGCCTCTTGCTAAGTTATCTTTATGGTGTGTAAGCAACCATGTTGTCTGAACCCAGAGAGGTGCATGGTGGGAGTGGCTTCCAAACTACCCCAGAACCCATGGGTTATAGAGTTCTATAACCCATGGGTGGTTTGGAAGTGATCCACTGCTGTCCAGCTTGTGGGTTTAGACTGCATGACAGCCCACATGCCACGAGTGTAATCAAGCAGATGGTGCTGTACACAACTGGCTTGTGAGAAGATAGAGAGTGGCTTCTTTTTCTTGCTGATTGTGTGAAACCTGGCCAGTGTAAATGTCTGAAAATACTTCAAATTAGAAAGATAGATTTTAGTTTATAGGGTGTGAGACCTGTGCCAGCCATTCACAAGACTGTGTAAAATGTTCACAGGTCTTAAGTAGTAACATCATCATTAGAATAGTCTTTGAGGATCTTTTAGCACTTAAAATTTCTACTCTTACTATATTTAATGTGTCTTTCAGTGCCTGCCCTATTATTTGAAGTTAGAATTTTAGATTTAGTACAGAGGATGTAATTTAAGGAAGGTGTCATTAAAAGTTAAATATTTAACTTTATTGAAGAAAGGCATTTATTGACACAAAGGCTTGAATCAACTAAAGGAATGAGACTCTTGGCTATATGTGCCTGTGATTTGTTTTCTAGTTCTTCATTTTATTCTTTGTGCCACTAAATGCATTCATGACACTTAATATTTGGTTTCTCAAATCTTTTTTGTCTCTCAAATCCTTTTGGCCTCCTCTAATATTTCTTTCACTGATTTGCTTAGGATATCCACAAGAAGGTTTTGTCACTGAATTTTAAGGATTGCCGCACGAAGATTCGCCATGTGGATGCCCATGCCACTCTTAATGATGGTGTCGTTGTGCAGGTCATGGGCGAGCTCTCAAATAACACGCAACCAATGCGGAGGTTCATGCAGACTTTTGTTCTTGCTCCTGAGGTATGTTGCCTGCTGGGATTTATAAACATGAATCATCATGCTATTGAGGCTTCAGGGTCAGGGATGCTAGGGAAGGGTGGGTAGAACTTCCTCTTTATTGTTACCTGCAGCACTGTTTTAAAACTGGGTTGTTAACAAATGCAGAGAATTTTTATTAAGAGAAATGCTTACAATGTGTATAGTTCCACAAAAATATCTGTACTTACCTACAAAAATATCCGTACTTACCTATGTGTTAGATGTTCTTTATATTTTAGTTGTGTTACAAAGGGATAACTGTCAATATACATTTTTGGGAAATATTGTTTACTGCAAAGCTTTGCTCTCATACTTCATAAACAAGAAATTTTGGTGTGTGAGTGCCAGGACCCACATACTTTGCATTAAAGGGGAGGATGCATGAGCCAACATTGTCAGGCCCCTTGCACCTTCCCTTTCAGGGAAGTCCTGTTTATTCTTAACATAAGTTCCACTGTGTCCAGTGAGATCTCTCATAGGGTGCTCTTGTGATGCATCTCTGTGGGAGGTCAGGCGTCAATCTCCTCTCCTCCATTGCCAAACATTCAGATCTTGGGGAAGGGGAAAAGAGGCTTACTTTAGTACTGCTCAGCCAGGGTGCTTTAAACACCCAATGCCGAAACAGCTATATCCAGCCTTCCCTTCTAGTTTGGGGTTGGGATAGGAAACTTCTCCTTCATCGCACTGAGCCTTCCAAGCCTCAGCACAATTATGGGGACAATTCCTTCCCTTCACAGTTCTAGTCTATAAAGAGAAGCTGGCACACCATTCTTGGGTTTGTGGTAAACAGTTTAATTTAAATGTCAGCCCAGTTTGTGTCTGCTGTGAAAGAGACAAATTTCATGTTGGGTATAATTAGAAAAGCAACTGAAAATAAAACTGTCAAGCTCATATTTCCCTTATACAAAACTGTGGTGCATGCACACTTAGTTCTTGTCACTGAACCTAAAAGCGTTTTTGTAGAGTTCAAAAATGCAGGAAAAGGCAACTAAAGTGATGGAGGTGGTCGAACAACTCCCCTATCAGCAAAAGCATTATTTAACTTAGAAAAAGGGTAAGTATAGGAAGATGTGATAGAGGAATTAAGTGTGGAACAGAGAAAGTGGATAAAACTTCAGTTTTATGGGATGACCATGAGTTGATCTGTGGAGATTTGGACAGATAAAAGGAAATACCACTTCACATACTCATAGTGCACAGTTAAACTGTGGAATTCAGTTCTACAAGATGTGGTGATGGCTCTAAAGGGGATCAGATGTTCAGGAAAGATAAAGCTATCATGGGCAACTAGTCCTGATGGCTGTATGCTACCTCCAGTATCAGAGGCAGTATTCCAGGATACACCAGCTGCTGTGGAACTTGAGTGAGAGTGTTGCTGCGTTCCTGTACTGCTTGTAGGTTTCACATGGGTAGCTGGTTGGCAGTTGTGTGACTTGAATATGGGAGCAGATGTATTCTTGGTCAGATATAACATGGCTGTTAGGTTTTCCTTTTGTCATCCTCACAAGAGAAGAGTGAAACAATTGTAGTGGCAGTGGTGTTCAGCAGAAATAAAGATTCAGGCAGACTAGTATTGTAAGCTTCCCGTCCAAATCCACATGCAATGTTCTGAAGTATTAATGGCTGGGTAGATTTGATTTAAGTCAAATTGATTTAAGTTATGATGTGAATCATGCTTTTCAACATAATTTGCATGTATGCCTGCCTTACCTGTAGGTAGAGGAACTTCATTAAAATATTCTCAGTCTGGGTCTCTCTTATGGCCTGCTGCCATTACTGGTTTTCTCTTCCAGTAAAAGATTAATATGATAAACTGGCTATACACATAAAGTTCTGAAGACCTATGTAGTATTCTGCTCAACAGTGTTCACTTTTACTGCTTACCCCTCTCTCCTCATACTTAGCTTCTTGTACAGCTCTATTCTACTCCCAAAAATCTTCTATTCATTGAATTTTTGAAGCTTAGCCCTTAGAGGTGAGGGGTTGATTTTGTGTACATGGATTTGCAAAGGAAGCAATGGGATTAAGGTCTTTTTCTCAACTCTGTATTTTTTAACATTTTTGCTGTCAGGAGGCATGTGATCTGCAGACTCAAATTCACCGTATTGAAAACTATAAAACCAAGCAACTGTGACTATACCTTCTAGTTAGAAAAACTGCCCAATAAACTTATGAAACCTAGAAGAGCATGACATTGTGAATGGATTAAAAGAATTCATTTACCAAAAAATTTAAACATTGCATGAATATACAACCTTGTGCTGTATAATTAAAAACTGATCCTTATTTCTTGCTGAATAAACTTTGGACTATAATCTATCTTAAATAGAGGGCTATCTTTAGATAGATTTTTCCTCAAAAAGCATTTCATTTTTAAAAAAAATCTGATTTAAATTAAAAAATCCAATTCAAATTTTAGAAATCCAATTTTTAAAATATAAAACAGATTTTTGTCCACACTGATTAATGGTTAGCAGATACATATGATGATACGGCTTTATTTGAAAATATTGTTTATTCTCTTACTTTTGGTAGCTGAACTTGGGGTGGTCCTAAGTAAATGTTGTTATTTGACTGGCCATGACCTTCAAAATCTATGCCAGAAATATATAAAACAATGTTAAGGATTATAAAGAAAATAGCTCTTCTAGTGTCCTTCCCACTGTTACAGTATTATCTGTTCTCCATGAGTTAGATATATGGGGCCGGGGGGGGGGTTGTCCTAAAAAACCCCTGATTCAACAATGTATTAGGTGCATTCTTCAGTACTTTATGGCAGATTGTCTTATCACAGAACTTGCACTATTGTTACCTACATGCATTGTTAAATAGCACTTCCTGATATCCTTAAAATTCTTGAACTTCTCTTGCATTTCTCTTAACTCTTTAACTGTCAAGTTAATTGCAGGCAGGATTAAATCTTTTGTTAAGACCTTGCACAGGAAGTATTTGTTTCTTGCATTGAGTTATATAATACATTTTTGTATGCCCGATATGTTAGTGTGTGTAAGATGTTGTTTTACTTGGCACTTAGTTTGGACTTTCTGATTGTGCTTATTTAAAATAACATCATCATTTGACTTTCTGGTTGTTTTAGTATTTGTCGCATTGTAATAGCATATTCAATATACTACATTTGTCTTCCTTTAAATGTGTTAGAGAAATTTACAGTGTAGCATTTTCTATCCAAGTGAGACAGAGATGGGGGGGAGGAGAGAGGGAGGGAGAAAGAACGCATGAGCGAGCACACAGGTTCACTGTAAATCTCATGCTAATCTGTTTTAAGTAGAAATCTGTTTATACTTCAAGGACAACTAGAAGTATGGGTATATGCATGTCATTCTTATAAAACTGAACAGCAAATTACTATCTGAGTTTGAATTCAGAGCATGACACCAAGTGATGAACAAGTAGAGTCTAGAGTAGTTCATATTTTTATGAATCATTGCTTTGTGCTAATTTTGAAATAAAGGCTATGTTGTAATAGCACCTTTGATCTGCCCTTTAATATTTAGCTGGGTTGTTTCTTTTCTGTTAAATAAATTGGAAAAACTATGTGCAGCATTTTCTATCAAAGTGCTAGATATAGCAGCACTATTTGGTTAAGTATAGATCTCGTCCATCTGTTTTATGTGGGTGCTCTGCCACTCCAATTCAACCCCATCTTCTTGTGATGCCACTTCCACACAAGGCATGTGAGGAGAAAATTGGATTTCTGCTAACCCACCAATCAGCTGTTTGGCAGACTAGTGGAAGCCTGCTTCTGGTGCGGAATAGCTGCACAAGGAAGATTGTGTTGGGAAGCAGGTATACTGGGCTGACTGCCTTCATTGCCTGTTGTAAAGTCCCCCAGCCCCCATTCTCAACCAGCTGTTTGGAGAACTGGTGGGAGCAGATTCTGTGAGCAGATTTGTATTTAAACAACAGGCATAGGTTAATTAAGTCAAAATTATATGTACCTTCTCATAGTGACTTCAGAATATAAGTTAGGAAATAAGCTGGCCAACTGCATGGAAACAAGGTAATACAAACTTTGAGTGATGCCTTTGTAATAAAACAGTTTCATGGTAGCATTAGAAAGTTTGGAGCCCAGATGCTCTTGTAAATGAGAAACATTACTTCTTAAATATCTTCTAACTTAGGGAGCAATCCTGTGGCCCCTGGACAGCAACTGAGGGGACATAGAATGTTTTGGATTCCCATGTCTGAAGTCAAGACAACTTCCTATTTTCAGAGTTTGGAATAGAAATCCATCCCTCCCTTTCTCCTTCATGGAAAGGATCACAATGTCTGCCTCTCCAAGAGTAAAAGGAGCCATTGTGATGGTTGGGGAGGGAAGGGAGGATAAAAGCTGTCCAGAGGCCTGTGGAATGCTTTGCGTGGAGGGAAGAGAAGATGACCTCTGCTGTTCCTCCCATACTGCATACAGTGCTTATAAGCCTCCAAGTTTGGGCACCTACAGACATTGAGACCACAACCCACAAGACTGTGCCTTTAGTAGCATTTAGTAATTCTTGCTAAATAGATAATTGCAATCTTGTAGATAGTGAAGATGTATTAGACATCCTGTTCCCATAATTCAGTTGCACTTTAAAATGTTTCAAACCCAGTAAAAATTATCTTAGATGTAACATGGTGTTAGCTTCTATAGCTGAGCTAAGGAGGTATCTCTTTTACTGTTTCATTTGTATAGTACACAAAAGAGCAATTTGAATAAAATTACTTTTCCCAAACATAACCGTAAAATGGGGGAAAGATATAAGATGAACAATGGGATAGATATTAGCAGCCCTTAATTGATCATTGCAAAATTTATCCATCCAGTCAACTGTCTCACATAGTATTTGTAGCTGTACTCATCTCACTTTCATGTTAAGATTTTGAGTGAAGATTGAATGCATATATAAATGGTAATGTGTAAAGTTGCCCTCATTGTCTGACCACAGTAGGGAATGATGCATGTGGGATGAAACCAATGCACTACTTGTCAGCGGATATGGAGGACATAAAGTTTTGTAACTGAAGGTTTTAGATTTCTGATGTCATATAACTTATGGAAAAGTTGCTATGTATTTAAGTAGCACAGTTTAGGCAAGTTTTTGCTGGCTAAAGATCTGTAACCTTTTTGTGCATTGGTCAGCTTTGATACAAGACTCCTGTAATACATTAGCTTGTGCTCCTGGCTTTGGGCTTTAGTGTACCAGTGGACGTTTATTAATCTGTTCCTGGGTAATAGTACAAGTTTCTATTATTCTGATGTGTATGCTGCAGTACCTGTGCAGAGATGAGGATTCTTTGAAGCTTTGTTAAGCAGGAATTGTTGTGAGCTGTACACAGAAACTTCTCTATAAGTCTTGAGTGGCCTTGTATTTAAGCACTTGCTTGCAGCTATTGATGGCAAAGAATTGTATGCAGGTAAGTGAATGGGCTGACAGAGGAAGGATGGAACATTCTGATCCTCTCTGTTTCAAGGCTGCTAGAAGAGCAACACTCCCTACTCTACACATTGCATTAAAATGTAGCATGCTGTTGAACAAATGTGGGAGCTCTTTGTTGTCTCCTTGCCAGACCCTAGCAGTTCATTAAAAGGGGCATACTCCTGTCCTTCAGTGCCAAAGTGCCCTGTGGAGGGTCCTGTGGATTGGAGGCTTGTAAGTACAGCAGGAATTTCTCCTCCTCCTCTCTATACCACCCATAGCCAAAGGTCTCTGCAGTGACTGGCTCTCTGGATTGACTGCCTGCCAAGTTCATACAAGCTACAGATCTTTAAGCTTGTGTTCAGTTTGGTATTTTGAACAACCTTTTTGGAGCACTTTTCCAGCCGTATGGTTCGCTTCCTTTTTTCTTCCCCCAATATATTTGTTGCCAGGTTTTCTGTACAGACGTGATTGTTATCAACTGTGACTGGATATGGGTGCTACAAATTGTACAAATGTCTCAAATTCTGAATTGCTGTCCCATCAATCATGAATACAGTATACCCTCTTGAAGTCGCGGTTCAGCATTTGCGGCTTGTCTTTCACTGGATTTTTCTCTGAGTCCAAGCTGATCTTCTAGCAAGTAAGCCAGTGTCTCCCCATGTGGCATCTTACTTGCAAGGAGATTGTTTCCTCTGAGTTTGGACTTGCTAGGAGAAAACAATTCCTGCCTGCCTCCCCAGCCAGCCCGCACTGCCTTGGCAGCCAGTGCCCATAGCTGGCACCAAATTCGCGGTTTTTTACAATTTGTGGGTGCTTTAGGAATGTAACCCTCACAAATTTTGGGGGCCTACTGTACTGCAGTCACAGACATAAGGATTATCTTTTTGTTTTCTGGCTGGCTAAGGTTGTAAATGTCCTTAAAGTAGTTCTTGCACCAGTGCTTCTCTGTTTGTATGGTAATACTGTGTTGGAAGAATCAGAAAGGGAGAAATGGTAACTGTCTAGGAAACTTTACTAAAAGAAATCAGTATCAAGCACCTACGGGCTATCTATGCATTGCATGAATTTCAAACATTACTAATAAGATGCACACAAAATAGTAGATAAACACAGATATAGGAGCAATACATTGAACTGCGTGGAGTTTCAGGTTGGCGTTATTTAGTGAAAGAGCAGCCCCTACCCTCCAATAGATTAGGAATATCTGATACATGAAGGTAAGACTGCATTGCCTTTCAATCTGAAGCAGAATGTAGAAGTGTATCCTCCCTATTCTCCTAATCCTCACCTTGACTGTATTAAACTGCCATGGTGTATCAAGTATTTTAAGATGGCTCAGAGATTAATGATTGTGTTACCAATAGAAGCATCTCTCTGTATTTTCTGCAAAGCAAAAATAGATAAAGCACTGTTGGACTGTCTTGAAGGCGAGAAAATGATTTATGCTGGCAGATTAGCAGTAGCATTGTATTGGTTACAAGTACAATGAGTATGAGTAGCAGAATTTTATTTTCCTCTTTATGTTTTCTCCAGGGGTCTGTTGCGAACAAGTTTTATGTCCATAATGACATATTTCGCTACCAGGATGAAGTTTTTGGTGATTTAGATGCTGAACCTCCAGAGGGTAAGTGCAGGTGAACATCCTGACTCTGTTAGCATGTTTTACTCCTACATTCTGAGTAACTTATATTATGACTTGCCCAGCCAGGTTCAACCTTCTTACAAAGAATAAACACAGTCGAATTCCCAATATCAACACACACTAAAATTTCAGAATTAGAAAAAAAGAATATCCTCTATCCTTTAAAAGTCCATTAAAGATCTTTTCAAGCAGGACCCTAAAAAGATGAGCCTTATACAACTTAAAGGAGTATGACAGTCTAGTTTGCTTTGCATATGTAGCTGAAAAACCAATGCACTTTCAACGATACAGTTACAAGCATAACTTAAGTTGAATATCCCACCTAGTTTTGGAATAAACAAGTTTACCAAATTCTGTTTTCATAGTTACTGTATGTAGAATTTAGTCGGAGCATGTAGCTGGTGAAAGGCAGTTGTGAGAAGCTTCTTTAAATTGTTGTGTAATTTTACTGCCTCCTTAAAACCTTCATTGGCTCAATCAATCTGGTTGGTTGCTGGAGAAATTGATTGACATTGTATGGTAAAACTGAAGTCCTAACGGTGACAATAGTAGCATTAAACTGGTGTAACAATTTTTGTGGAGGGGACTCTCCAATCCTGATGGTTGTGGTTTTAGGGGTACCTTTGGCTCATTACAGCCTTCAGCTCTTCACATTGCAGCAATTGCCAGATTGAGACACAGTAGTAGTCACATTTTACTGGTTCAGGAGCTATAGCTGTTTCTGTCTTGGGCAGCTGTTTGTTGTTCTGAGGACAGACTACTGCAGTGTGCCTTTGTAACACAGTCTGCTTTTGAAAAACATTTGGAGGCTTCAGTGGAAACCCTGCCTCAGCAGTCTGTGCATTGCATGGATCTCCTGTTTGTTCTGTGATGTGAACAAAGTTTAGTTACATAAGAAAGCAAAAAAGGTAACTGTCAATGGCAGCTCTGCTCTTTGTTATCACTAGTCATCCTTCCTCCTCTGGGAATAATGAATTGCAGGATACCTAAATAAATTATCCTCTTGGGCCAGGAAGTACACATAGTACTTCTACTGACCTTTGGAATGGGATCCATTCGAGTTAATCTCCTGCATTTTAGGGATATCATTTTAGAGCTGGATTACCATAGTGGCTAGTAGATTGAGCTACAAATAAGGAAGTCCTTGCATTGGCCATAATTTCACTAAGGGAATCATTGCAAACTTCTCTTGGACCTGTTGAGAGCCATTGTGGAGAGGTGGTTAGAGGGTTTGGGACCTGGGAATCCGAAGCTCATTAGTTGACTTTGGGCCAATCACAGATTCTTAACCTAATCTACCTCACAGGGTTGTTGTGAGGATATAAGGGAGGAAGAAAAGCTTGTAAGCTCCCTTGAGTTCCTTGGGAAAGAAATTTAGTCTGACCCGTGGCTCCACTCATGACATGCCTACCATGTGCATGTCCAGCCTATCCTTGAACACCCTCACCAATAGGGCTTCAATCACTTCCCATGGAGGTGATTGAAGCCCCATCACCTCCCATGAGCCTATTCCATACCCTCGGGGTCCTAACTGTCAGGAAGTCCTTCCTGGCATCCAACTTAAACCTTGGTTCCCTGAGCTTTGTTCTATTGGAATGCATCCTGCTCTCCTCTGCAGGGAAAAACAGGCCTCGACCCATCTCTGTGTGACAACTTCTCATGTACTGATATGCCCCTAATAGATCCCCTCAGAGTCTCCTCTTCTCCAGACTGAAAAGACCCAGTTTCCTCAGTCTCGTCTCATACAGTTTCTTCTGCAAACCAGCCCCAATCCTTGTGGCCCTTCACTGCAGTGATTCCAACCTGACAATATCTCTCCTGTAATGTGGGGCCGAGGACTGAACACAATACTCCAGTTTCAGGCATACCAGAGTCGTGTAGAGTGGCCTGAATACCTGGTATTCTAGAGAATACCTCTCTATCAAGAAGCCACACTTCTGGATATGCATCCAAGGGTGGCATACACTCTCTTGACTGCTGCGTCACACTGCTGACTCAGGTTTATCCTGCAGTCAACCATTACCTTGAGATCCCTTACTCAAGTGCTGCTCTCCAGCCACTTGTCCCCTAAGCTGTACTGATGACATCTATTCCTATGCCCCAAATTCAAGCCTTTGCACTTATCTGTATTGAATGCATTGTTGTTGCCTGCCCACTTCCATAGTCTGTCAGTATCTTTTCTAGATCTGGAGTACTTGCTCCTCAGTTGTGGCCACTGCCTCCATTTTAGTATCATCTTCGAATTGCAGACTAGTCACCCCTTCTTCCATGTCATTGATGAAAAGTTTGAACAGGATCACTCACAGGACAGAGCCCTGGGGGACCCCACTGTCCCTGGCCGCCATCCTGATGATTCCCCACTAACAGTTACCCTCTGCTTTTGGTCCATTAACCATTCCCTAATCCATCGGATAGTGATTCGGTCTATCCCAAAACTCATCAATTTCTTAACTAGGATAGCTTTGTCAAAGACCTTGCTGACTTTAACTTTGTCAAAAGCCTTGCTGAAATCCAGGTAAACCACATCAACCACGTCCCCTCCGTCTAGTCACCTTGAAACCTTGTCATAGAATTCTACAAGGTTTTTCTTGTTTTTGTGGAAGCCATATTGCATGGCTGCCAACCTCCCTTCCCAATCTAGGGTTTCTAGAGTGTTCCCTATTATGAGCCTTTCCATTGTTTTACCCAGAATGGATGTAAAGCTAACCGGCCTGTAATTCCCTGGGTCCCCTCTGCTACCCTTTTTGAAGATTGGCACCAATCTTCAAAAAGGGTAGGGGTGGGTTAAAAATGTAATGTAATATTAATCTTGCAATATGGAACGCTGCTCTGCTTTACTACAATGTAGGGATTACAGCAGACTATGATGCACAAAATGTTTCTTAAGTGCTTTATTTAATCTATCGTTATTGAAACAAATGCACTGAGGTCATCAGTTTTAAGATTGGTTATAATAGTATCAAATTATAAAGATAGCTGTTTAGATAAAATTAACACATCCCTAGTATGTGAAAAATTGAGTGCATATTGACTGCAGTGCAGAAACTGGCCGGGGAACTCATGATCTCTTGAATAAAAGCTGCTACTTATTTCATTAGAATCCGAGGAAGAGGCAGAGGAACCTGAGGAAAGGCAGCAGACTCCTGAGGCTGTTGCTGATGACCCAGCAGCCTACTATGAGCCATCTGTCAGGTAAATATGCATGTCATGGTTAGGCCATCTCTTCTGACCAGTTTGCCTGATACTGCTGGCTGAAATGAAGTTAATAGCCCAGTTTTCTGGAGAATAATATGTATTGCTAGGACCTAGTCTCCAGTCTCTCTGTTTTAATCTCTTGTCTGTCAAGATATTAAGTAATTTTGGCACTAAAGGTCTATCAGTTCTTAAAACTTACTGGAAGGGAAGGGTGTTGCAAGACAGATTTTCAACTTTCACGCTCTCTGTGTATGCATGGTTTATAGAAGTGCATGAAAAATCTCTGCTGATTAAGAAGCAAGAGAAACTTTGCTGACGTAAGTTGAATTGTTGCATAAGATTGGAAGGTTGTATGCAGCACCAGTGCTGAAGCAGCATACAGCTTAGATATTGTTAAGTTTTGCTATTGAGATTTGTAGACAGATTATGTTTAATTATGGTATTTTACCCATCAACAGCAATGACTTGGAGGAACAGTTGGAAGAACCAGTTGCAGAGCCTGAACAGGAACCTGAACCTGAACCTGAACAGGAGCCTGAACCAGAAACTCAGGAAGAAAAACCTGAGTTAGTGCTGGAGGAAGTGGCTCCTGAGGAGGCAGTGGAGAAGAGTCCTTCTCCAGTCCCTGCAGACCCAGCTCCTGTAGTGCAAGAGGACCCTAGGGTAACATGCAAGTCTTTAACTATATTCCTTGTGAAGCTTACCCCTGTGTATTTTAGCTTAAGAACATAAGAACATGCTGGATTACACCGAAGGTCAGTCTAGTCCACCACAGGGTGGCAAACCAGCTTCAGACAGGATCCCTTAAACAGGATGCGTGCAAGTCCTCCTCCTGCCCAAGCTGCTCAGCAGCTGGTGTTTGCAAGCGTATCACTTCTGGTAAAGGAGGAAGCACATGGCCAGCAAGACTAGTAGCTACTGATAGCCTCGTCCCGCATTAATCTATCCATACCTTTTTAAAGCTATCCAGATTAGCAGCCACCACCAATTACTATGGCAGCGAACTTCTTAGTTTAACTTTAGTTGCTTAAACAATGAAGTGGGAGAGTGTTTACGGGAGTTGCTGAAATCTATGAACTATGTAGATGTTTATGTTATTTGAAGAAAAGACAGTTTCATATATCTGAATAGAAATGGAGTTCTAGGAATAGTGACATTTGGGTGACTAGAGTTGTAGAGAATCAGGGTTGTATAGAGTGGTATTCACTTTTGCTGATTTGCCAGCAGAAGCAGGAGGAAGACATTTTTTATGATTCTTCTTCCCCTGCAGCCTTTCGTCAGCATCTAGATCTCTAGTGGAGGGACCATGCAGAGTAGATCTCATGCTGCATATGCAGGGGGCTACAGAGGAAGGACTGATAAAAAAAAAGCCTCCTTTTCATTCTGCTAGCAGACAGACTTCCACCAGCAGAGTGACCGCTGTTGAGTGTAATACTCAGAATTAGTTTGTACCAAAATGTCAGGAAAACACCTATTGGGTTTCTGGTTCTCCTAATTGTTCTATGTATGCATTCATTACACATTCTGCAGGCGAAAACAGAGACTGCCATAGTGACATCTGCAGCCATTAACCAGTTGAGTGGGTTTAGATAAGCTAATTTTGTAACAACCAAGAAGCAAGTATATTTGTACATCACTTTTGTTTCTCAGCTTTTGGGAGTACATGAAAAGAAACTTGGCTTGTTATTTACCAAAGGGAAATGCTAAAATAATGAAAGCATTAAATACTGTTTATATAAATGGTCTATAATATGCAAGAAATTGTGACTGTGGAATTATGGATGAGAGATAATAGGAATTTTGGAGAATGCAAAAGCATTGTATAATTTTGAAGAATATAGATATCTGGAATTATTAAGTAATACTGAAATATTATTTGTTCTTGTCAGACTTCATCATGGGCATCTGTAACTAGCAAGAATCTACCACCCAGTGGAGCTGTTCCAGTATCTGGCATACCACCTCATGTTGTCAAATTACCTGCATCACAGGTAGGAATATCTAATAGCCAGTGAATGAACTTGGGCATGGGTCTTGTAGAATTCAGATTAGTGGTCACTTGATGATATCAATGGCCACTTGATAATGGATTTAACCATATGCTCATTTTTTTGTGGGCAAGCCAATAGCCTTTTCCTTGGTTGGATTATCTATTGCTGGAAAATTGCTTTACCCTAGTTTGGAATTCAATTCACCAAGTAGTGTGTCAGTTATATTTCAATACACTTTGTGCATTAGGATTGCATGATAAAATGGGCTGTAGGACATAATAAATACAAAAAGCTTATGACATAATAAATTTGGTAATCCTTTAGGTGCCGCAGGACTTAAGGTTGCATAAGTGTCAAGCTTGGTTAGTGTTGATAACTTTGCTCATGACCAGTGATGCATTTTCAATACCACTCTTGCTACTGCCTAAATGATTTGAGAGAGTTTCTTAATGTATAACCATTTAGATTTATTTTACCTCATTAATAATGCTAGTCAGATGATTCAGACCATAATTCAGATTATAAAATACATTTTTAAAAGCCCAGCAAAGAAAAAACATTTTCAGGCCCCTTTGGAATATCAAAGAGGAACAGGGCCTGCTGGAGGAAAGACCTCATTCCTGATTTTTTGTGGTGATAATATAATCTGTCCTAATTTGGCTATAACTTCCTGGTCTGATGCCACTCAGGATTTTTAGGAAGCACTTTTAGGAAGTAAGATTAAAGTACAACAGCGTGCTTGCTCTGTCACAGGAGAGAGATGGTAGAATATTATAGGAAGGAAGTACTTTTTCCACTTCATTGTACCAGTCCAGATTGACTCTGTATATTGTAGTTTCAAAAGGACAGGCTATGCCTAGTTAAATGCTCCATTCTGGCTTTTGAACATATTTTCCCCTTTCCCTGGAGTTCTTAGTTTAAAAAAGATCGGAATCAAAGTGGTTGAGATGCAATTTTGACTTGTTTGTGTTGGTACATTTTTGTAGCCCCGTCCTGAATCTAAACCTGAATCCCAGACTCCACCACAGAGGCCTCAGCGGGACCAGAGAGTGAGGGAGCAACGGACAAACATCCCCCCACAAAGAGGCCCTAGACCAAGTAAGAAAAACTAAAGCATCTCACTTTGCTGCATTATGTAGACATCATGAGTTACTTGGTAATAATATTTAGTCATTAAAGTGTAATTGATTGTTTAAAACAGAAAAAGCTAAGTATTCCAATTTCTGGACTGCATTTGGTGATTAAATCTATCTGATCACTGTGTGTCTTCCCACTGTGTTGGGAAGGATTTGGGACAAAACTCAGATCCTCTGACACCTGAAGTACCACAACTAATTCTTATGTGGACACTACATTCAGCTTTAAGCTCTTGATTAAGAGATCCCTTGTATATTAATAATGGGGGATTTTCAGCGAGAAGGGGAAGTTGTTTGGTTCTTGTATTTTATTTGAAAACATGAACAGCTCTTGCATTTGTTAAATGATTGGCAACTTTTTATGGCAGATAATGCTATGAGAGTGTTTTGTAGAAAGCAAAAGTTGCTCTTCCTTATGGTATTCAAAATCATTAATAAAACTTCTATGGCATATTTTATTTCTCTATTTTTCAAGTGCGGGAAGGAGAACAGGGGGATGTAGAATCTAGACGAATCATTAGATACCCAGACAGTCACCAACTTTTTGTTGGAAACCTCCCTCATGATGTGGATAAAACCGAACTAAAGGAATTCTTCCAAAGTAAGTAATGAACTTTGTTTTCCTACTGGTGGGGTTCTGGGATTGTGTCCAAAAGTACATGCCTATTTCTGCAGAGCAGTCTAATGTGTGATCAAAGAACTTGCAAATTCTCTTGCAGGTTATGGAAATGTTGTGGAACTACGCATCAACAGTGGAGGAAAGCTCCCTAACTTTGGATTTGTGGTGTTTGATGATCCAGAACCAGTTCAGAAGATCCTTAGCAATAGGGTAAAAATGAGCAATGTTTAAGTGAAATGGGCTGTGTGGAAGGGCGCTAAATTTTCCTCTTTTGAAATAAGAAAGGAAACTTTTGCTTTAAAAAATGCACAACCATTTAAAAGCTCCCTCTTCTAAGAAGGAAATGATTGAGCACTGTTAAATGAATGTTGCTGTACGTTTTGGGCATTTCTTACCTCTTGACAAGATTGCAGCATTAACTTGTAGTGATCATTCCAAACAATTTTTATTTGCTGCTGTTAAATGGAGGGTGCAGAATAAATAAAATGAAAAAAGAGTCGGAGCAGCTTCCCTTTGAGGAAAGGTTACAACATTTGGGTCTTTCAGTTAGGTACAACATTATGCATTGTCTGGAAGAAGTTGAGAGATGAAATTGTTTTCCCTCTCATGCTGTTAGAAGCTGGGGTCATCCAAGGAAGCTGAATGATGGGAGATTAGGATAAACAAGAGGTGCTGTGGGATCTTCTGTGTGAAGATGTAGGGATTGCCATCAACTTGGATAGCATCAAAAGGGGGTTAAACACATTTTTATAGGATAAGTTTTATCTGTGGCTACTATATGTTCCTTCTGTTATCAGAGGCAGCATGTCTCTGAATATCAGTTGCTGGAGAATACTAGCAAGGAAAGTACTTTACACTTATGTCCTGTCTGGGGGCTTCCCATAGACCTCTGATTGACTGTTGTGAGAACAGAATGTGGGATTAGAAAAGTCTTTGGTCTGCTTGCCCCATTTGTCAGTTAAATGCAATTTTTAAAAATAAGTAATGAAAAGGGGACACGGAAGGAAATTATGCATCACAGGATAACGGATTTGGTAATTCCTGAGCAGTCTGTGGAGAAAGAAGTGGCTGGGATCTGCTAAAAATATTTCACACTGCTACTAGGGTGCACAGCTATCCAAATGTTTTGGAGTGGTGAAATGAATTAGGCTGGGGTTTATGCCTACACAGTTACATAGAAATAATTCCTATTGAATTCTGGGGCTTATTTCTAAGTGGACTTTTACAGGATTTCACTGTTCATATATGTACTGTTATCTGTGGTATTCTTACCTATTTAGTTATGTCGGTTTACCACTTTTCTCTTGCAGCCAATAATGTTCAGAGGAGAAGTGCGTTTGAATGTGGAAGAGAAAAAAACACGAGCAGCCAGGGAGGGTGATCGTCGAGACAACAGACCCCGTGGGCCTGGTGGCACGCGTGGGGGGCTGGGAGGTGGGATTCGAGGGCCTCCGCGTGGAGGGATGTCTCAGAAACCAGGATTTGGCACTGGAAGGGGCATCGGGCAACGCCAGTGATTAATGGATGACATGATGAGACAAACCCTTCTTCCTGCAGATTTGTGAATTTCAGCCTTGGGTATCTTGGAATGTGGCCCTACCTTGTTATAGAGACTGCTACGTTTGATACTATTTTGGCCCATTTTGTTTGTGTTTGGTTTCGTGATTTTTTTTCTAGTCCTTGTCCCAAATTCCAGCTTTGTGGAACAGTATTTCAGGAAAAAAAATGGATTTTAAAAAGAAAAGAACTGAATCTTTGCTTGCTGCAGACATATGGACTGGATTTTTATTTTTATTTGGTACCAGTGGTTTTTCCAATGGAATGTGTGGAGCTTTTTTCTTACTGAGATGGGGTGCGCTTCAGTCAGTGGAATTATCCTTTTCAGCTGCATGTGTTCAGGAGCCTGTAGGAAAACCTAGCACGTGACAAACATTTCAAGGGCAGGGAAATTGGTTTATTCTTTGGGAGGTGGGGTCATGTGACTATCCAACCCCAGTATGGAGATGTTGCCGCTGGAAAATCGACATTACCCTTTTCTCTGTGGCGCTTTAAAAATGGAAGAAAGGGTGCATAGAATGTTTTCTTTTGGTACATGATCACGAAAAGGAATTCTCACTACTGTTTTACCACTTACAAGGATTGTGGGATAGGTTTTAAATGTCTAGAACTTGACTCTTTAAAACACTCTTCCTGAACTTGTGAAAATTTTTTTATTGAACTAGGGAAGTTTTTTCATGTTTAGTTTGTATTTGTATTAAAACAAAAACAAAATTGTTGTGCCTTCTATTTATCTCTCATTCCAGTCTTGGCAAATTGTTAAAAAAAATAAAAAAAGTCTAGATTTGCTTTATCCAGTTTTGGAGTATGTTGAAGTCTTTCAAGAGATCTGTTTGTTCTTCACCCCTCCTCATTAACATATATGTTTATTGAGTTGCACGGTTTTGCTTTTCCATAGCCTTATAGATTTGTGTAACACTTAATGCTTTCTGATGAGGTTCAGGGGCCCAACTGTTGTATTGACATCACCGTTAGCTCTGAAGTGAGTGCCTTCCACAGTAATGTGACTATGGGAAATGAAATCATAAATCTTTAATAGTATGCATATGTTCAGTTCATGTAGTTGGTTGCTATGATGTTAATAGTCATCATTGGCTTTTAAATGCCATTCAAATAGGGGTCAAGCTATAATGCCCTAGTTCTTATATATCCATATTTCACTGCAATATATTCATGGTGTTGGATAAGCTATGGGACATCTGTCTTTGCTGAATGTATATAAAACAAAATAAAATGCAGAACATCATTGTAGCTGTTGGAGTGCCTGATAGTCTTCTGCACTAGGTTTTGAGAACAATGCATGGCGTGCAAGGCCTCTGGGTGAACAACTGCAGCACCCAATTTAGGAGCAGTTTGGCTCTGATGTAGACTAGAGAGGAATGGAGAACTCAGTATTGTGAGGCAATACTACTAAATTGTATTCATCACCATTTGCTTATTTACATGAAGATGGTGACTTAGTTGTGATATGTGGCAACTGAACTAAGCCGTATTTGTATTGTGCAGTAGATAATGTGAACAAATGTCAAACTTGAAAGACTTTAAGCCAATTCTGTTAAAACTGCTTTTGAACCTTTTAGCTGTCTGTCAACTGTGTTTCAAATTTCTATCTGTAACTAAAGGATTAGAATTTTTTAATATGGAAAATTGGGGTCCTTGTGTTTGAATAAACCCAAAAGTTTGTTTAGATTATTTTCTTATTTAAAAATGTCTTAAAGGACAGCTAATAAATGGAATTAGAGCAGCTTGCATTGGGCTATAAAATGTGCAGAGAGCATCTGTTATGGGTAAGTAACTTGTCTGATGAGTGTACTTCACACATTTATGTGGATCATGAACAGAACACCTCTGTTGAGTGTAAAGGAATTTACCAATAGCATAAACCAGAACAGAAATGTTCATTGCTGGGATATTGACAAAACCCAGAGTAGTCTTGCAAATGTCTTGAAACATCTTTATTTCCTTTCACTGCAAAAGAGTTTCATTTTAAGTGTTTCTAAATACAGAAACTGGTCTTTCTAGTTGAGCTAACTCAGTTTACTGCTTTGCTGTGGCTCAGGGTCCAAACATTTTTGGCTGAAATTGGTCAATCCCAAACATGCAGTCACTGAAACTGCTGCTTCAGGTTAGTGACAGTCACAGGAATGGAGGGGCAGAGGTGGGTTATTTATTTAGTGTATGGCATTGGAACAATTAGGTGTCTACAATGCTGATACAGAGTAGATGTTTGGCTCCCTCCAATTGCCAATTTGTTATGTTCATGGTTGCGTTTATCCAGTGTGCACTGCAGGAGGCGATCATGCCAGCACACATGCAAACCAGTTGGCATTCAAGTTGTTGACTCATCTGGGCTGCTTCTGCTGATCATGTATCCCGTTCAGGCAGGTCCAGTGCAGGTGCCCGCTCTCCTTACGCAGGTAGCTTTTCGCATCAGAGTGGTGCCCATTTATCGCAGGTTTACATGCTTTTGAACTGCTGGGTGGGCAGGAGCTAGAGGCGAATGACAGGCTCGAACTGCTGAGTGTTGGCCATTCCTGGTCAGCACATCCAGCATCCTTAAGCCACTGTACCACCACATCTCATGGCAGAGGTGGAAATTGTTTTGCATGGCAGCAAAGAATGAAAACAGTCCTAAAGTGAGAGAGATCCAGGAGTGCTCAATGTCTCTGTAAGCTGGACACGCCAACCTTTCCTATCTCTAACGTGGAGTGGGCAGCTAGGGCAAAACTCTGCCTCCCCTTCTAGCTTCCAAATTGACGAAGAAGACTAGGACTTCAAGAAGCATGACACCAAAACACACCCATGACTTCCTTTCAATCATGCAGTGGGGGGAAGTGGAGAGAGTGCCTTCAGTGGTGCTAAGCATGAGTCTTGCCCCTCCACTTGCAAGGCAGAGAATAAGCCCAGGGCGCCCTATTCCTTGGAGCAGTAGAACAATCACCATGGTTAGTAATAAAACAAGATTCTTTGGAGAGGCAAACACTGCAATTTTCTAACTCTGTAGCATGGTTCACCTTTGTAAAAAGATCAGGCCTACTCAGGGTACTGAGGGTTTAGAGGCCAAGAAGAGCCATGTCCTATTTCAGTGGTGTCTTCCTGTAATAATTCCTAATAAGACAAGCTTATACCTCTAAGCTTATAGCTAATATATTGGAATTTTAGTGTTGGAACTCAGGTTTCAGTGTTTCTAACAGCCATTTCTGTAGGTTCTTTTAAAACCTGATTTTTTTCTAGCATGTTTGAATATGTATGGCACTGTATGTTTCATATATAACAGGATATACTATTAGGCATAATTATATATCAAAGGCAGACCAAATATCCATTTGTAGACTTGCACCTAAAGACATCCTGTTTAAAAAAACCATTAAGACTTTTCAGCCCATTGTATTATCGAAGTGTTGGTTTTTCAGTGTTGTAGAATTAGTCTTTTAGCTGTCCAAAGGGCATGGAGAATCCATTTATGTTGACCTTGTGTTAAGATCAAAGAGGTAGATAATAAGACCATGTCCATGAGTAAATACTAACTTTTTCTGTCAAAAAGATTATCCATGTTATTAAATCCTTCCCAAAAGAGGTGGTCATTAGATGTCACCAAATGCAGGAGAAGGAAATCCAAATTGAGTTGGATTTACTTCATCAGAATTTTCATGATCCTTTCATAGAAGTTCTAGAACAGAAGAATTTAAATGCTGGTAACAGTTTTAGGATTGACAATATTTGGTAGAGATTTTGCTCAGTAGGGTTCAAAAATGCTTACAACTATTTCTAAACTAAAACTATTTTGTGTAAGACATACCAATAGTTAATACTAGTTGGCATTTTTCCAGCTGGACAGATGGAAAAACACGCTTTGGGTTATATGCAGGTAGATCAAGCTCCTCTATGCAGTAGAGGGAGCATCAATTCCACCTAGAACCCCTGAGGGTTCCTGCTGGGACAGAACTTGGTTTTTTGCCTACATCGCTGGCTGTTAAAACAACAGGTAAACATTTGATACATCATGTAATTAAAGAAGTGGTGATAACAGAATTCATAGTGGAGCTCCTGCTTTATGGGTAAATTGAACATATGACTAGGTAGAGAAAGGCAACCTGGTGCTCTCCTGAAATTTTGGAGTATGACTTCAATAATCTCTGGAAGGCATGAGTTGATTATCCCTGAGATAAAGTAATTTTTAATGGGAAACCAGTATGAATCCTGTCTTTCTGTACTACTGCAAACACAAGGCAGTAGAACCAAAAAATGCAGGTTTTTTAATTTATTTTGCATGGCATAGTTGAATGCAGCATTATTGGATAAAATTTACTGAAACAATGTATGAAAAGTGTATAAAATGTAAATTAGTTTAAAATAGGAACCATAAATTATTTTAAAAACGTAATACGAATGATGAATAAAATTATGGCTAGAATTATGTATGAGCAGTTACTTAAAGTGGCTGGGCTTATGGTTTAGGTCTAGGTTGTTTCGCCATTGAACAACAGTACCCTAAAGATGATGTAGTTCTAGCAGGGAGCCAGGAAACTTTCTGAGGGGGCGTTTCATTGTCCTGTGGTGTAGAGTTCGCAGGCCATTCCCACAGGGCCAGTTTGCAGACCAGAGTTGTCGACCAGCTCCCATTTGTGTTTCCAGTACTGGTTTCTGCCATGATTAGTTTGAATCTGATTGAGTTTTTCCTTGGGAGATCAAAACCATGGGAGCATTGTACTGGATCAGACATTAGGTTAAACAAATCTGGATTAGAAGTTGCCCACTCCTGGCACCATGCTGTCTCAATGTCAAAGTCTTCTCTAATTGCTGACTGGATTTCCACAGCGGATCCAGAGTTGTAGCAGTGAAAGGAAAGGAGGACTGCTTTCTTACTGCTGCATAATTGTATCCATATGATCTGTTAATGTGTACTTCATGTACTTCATGTCCTTTGGGCTTCTGATAAGCATACAGCTGGTCACTGTGGGAGTCCTTTGCTGGACTATGTAGGCCTTTGGACTCATGTAATAATGGCTGTGCTTATGTTTTGTGCTTTCAGTTTTATAGCTTGCCCCTTTTTATTCTGCTAGGAAAGAATGTCATTGTGCTCCTCTTTCTTTGATGTTTACTGCACAGTGCTCTCTTTATTCTAGAGGACTCACTTTAAGAGTGTATGATAGCCACCTCATATAAAACCATTTGGTTAGCACTGGAAATCTGTTTTAGTGACCTCTATTCTTAGGGTTACAAATGCTGTCCCAATATAGTCCAAATCTTTCTTCCCCTAAGGGCCTTTGCCTAACAGGTCACATCCTGTGGACCCTAAGGTAACATGCAGTCCACTCACCTCCAAGCAGCATTGCTGGTAGATTTTATATGACTCAACCCATCTCATGCTATCAGAATTCACAACTGTAATTCCTTTCTTGGAACATTACAGGTTGGTAGAGCAAGACTGCTGATCTCTGTCAGGATTTCATTAGAACCTGTGGTATCTTACTGGTGTAAGAGACATGGGTAAGGGAAGAATTGGAACTTGAATGGCTTTGCAACTTATTAAAATTGAACTTGGTACCATGAAGGTCATCCGAAAAGCTCTTGACATACTGGTTTCTACCAAGCTCCAAGCCACTTCTGTTAGCTCAGACTTTCTGCTTAGTGTTATGATCACCTTGGTTATTAAATGTGCATTTACTGCTAATAAATATCTACCGTATACCCCTGTTGTGTCAAAGACAGCAGTATAGAGAGAGGTAGCTGAGATAACAGCAGTTCATTGAAAGATAACCATATATCCTGAAGTATTTGTGATACTAACAGGAGACTTGCTAGAACGCTGAAACTAATAATGATCATTTTGCTGAATACACTTCTGAAATAGAGGTGGTCCACCCAATGCCAGATAGGCAGTGCAAAGGGTTGCAGCATTTCTAGGTTGTGTCTCCTATGTATGATAAAAGGTGCTGCTATATGAAGCCTGAGATGGGGATAAATGTGAATCTTGATGCTTATCAGATTCTGGAGCACCAACATTGGAGTTTCTTAAAGTTTCTTAAGATTTGTTATATTGGATTGTTAGCTGTAGGTTTTACACTAAGAGGTAACCATCAGCTAGACTCTTAAACACTGATACTTGGCATGTACAAGCCTTTCTAATACCAAGTTAGACTATAGCTTGTCTATGTTATTCTTTAGAAAATTGTCTTAGATTTGGGGACAATTTCCCAATTGCAGGGTCACTGCATTGTGCTTTAGAATTGTCCCAAGAAATGGTTTCATCTTTTCAATGTTACAGTGTCCTTATGAGACAGCATACTCCTCTGTGGAATAAATGGGCCATCGTCCAATCCAGTACAGTTCTGATGTTCCTCTGGCAAGCCCCCACACTCACCCTGGTGTACAAGATGAGATCTCCACCTCTAAGGGTTCTCTTCAGTTGGAGGGGGAGATCCAGTAGGATCCATGGGACTCCTGGGATGCCCTTCCAGGGACTGCAGGACAGTGGTCTAAACTAAATTCAAGTTCTCTCTAGTTGTTCAATACTGGATGTTCTTAACAAGCTGCCACCTTTAAGTGAACAAAGCAAACCTTTCATCTGTTCTGCCCACTGGAGTTGCAGGGGGTTGATAACATAATGAGCAGTTGGTGAAAAAAGTTAAGGTCTTCAATACTTCTTTATGACATTCATAAGAATATATTTTTTCACAAGAATAT